TTTACCGCTTTATACTACTCTTATAACTAAACTCGTGAAGGATATGAGTTTGCTCCGCTAAACTGACAGTTACGTTATCAAGTATTTTTCTATTTCTACTCGACTTATTGCACACCTTCATAAGTTGAAAAATGTCTTACTTCCGCCATTTAGAGGGGCAAAATCCTAACCTATGTGTAGTCGTTAGAACTACACCTCTTCCAAAGTCACTAGCATTCACGTAGATAACCAAAATATACCGCTTGAACCATCAGCAAAACCATGCTCTAGCAGTCATACGCATTACCCGATATGATCTCTCGATTTTCAATATAGGTCATCATATTCTGTTAAAAATTAAAGTGTTCGGTTTTAGTTAGCGTATTGTATTTACGAATATTTTCGATTCTTTCAATTTCTCTTTTGGCACATTCTTCTTTAGAAACTTGAGCATGAGCAAATGATGGAATGGTGTCCCGTTTAAGGTTTTGCTATTTAGACTATACAACTATCAGGCAAGATAAAAACATACAATTTTGGCACTATGATTGTTGCAGCCACTTACTACTTGGCCCGCAGTAAGTGAAAACACTATTTTGGTCACCAATAAAGTGGCCACATAGCCCCTTATCTGCACATGAAGTAGGATATTTTATGCCCTTTCGGATGGCACACGGCAGTCTTGAGGATTGCCAACAATGATCACGACGCTGATTTGCAATTTATGAGCCTTTTACTTTGATTTCTAAAATAATTTCATTTATAGCGCTCGGTTGAGGATGAAATCGATCGACAGTCGCATTCGGATATCTCAACAGTCCTCATCAGCTACGTTGTCATGTTCGCTTACGTTAGCGTCTCGCTAGGAAGCTACCATAGCTGGCGGACAATTATGGTAAGTATTAGCGTATCTTGACAACCATACTGGTTTACTCCGTTTTTCTGCTTATTATCCTCTCAGTGGTTGTACCTTTCCGCTTCGTTTATTTGCCATTCAAGCCAGTTGAATTTCCGTGCCTCGCTAATGGGTAATGGCTTAGCACTGCGCTCCGGTGGCCACATAGAAGAGGAATGTGGAAGATGCGTGATTTTCCAATGTTAAATTATCAGATGTTGGACTTAGTCACAACTGAATATTCCAAGTGCTTCGCAGAGCTTCAATTATTCTCGTTTATAAGGGCAAAAAGTCTACACTGTCAACTGAACAGGGCTAAAATGAACCAAAGTCAGTTTAGAGTAATCTCACCTGCTCGTCGTTAACTTGAACGCTATTCAACCCGGGTAGGAAGCAGCAATTATAGTCGATCCTACGATATCCTCTTTCATTCGGTTTACCTAATGACTTGCTAACTCGTCAAGACCTTCAAAAATTCAGCCTTTAGTTTCCTTAGACATTAATCTCCGTTCGCGGTATGCACCAGTATATTTAAGGTCTATAGGCCTAGACCAACATTGTAAGTTTATATATGGGCTGAAACCCTTCAACCATTGGGTAATATGCGCAGACTGTACAGTAGATTCACTATCTCATGCAATGGCAGCCGGAATTCTGAAATGAGTT